TCTCTCTCTCTCTTAAATAAATAAAATTTTAAGGAAAAAAACATAACTTGAATTCACTGTTTGTTTGAAACTAGTACAATGAGCCTGTGATCTTTGGGTTAAGATTCCCTAATGAGATCTGGTTGTTAATGAAGAGACATTTCTAGCCATGAAGTTTTTGTTAAAAATTTTAAAAAATATTTTATTTATTTATTCACGAGAGACATACAGAGAGAAGCAGAGACACAGGCAGAAGGAGAAGCAGGCTCCATGCAGGGAGCCCGATGTGGGACTCAATCCCAGGACTCCTGGGATCATGCCCCCAGCCAAAGGCAGACGCTCAACCGCTGAGCCACCCAGGCGTCCCATTTTTTTAGACAGGCAGAGGGAGAAGCAGGCTCCATGCAGGGAGCCTGATTTGTTAAAGTGTATAAGAGAAATAGTTGTACTGGAAATAGTTAATCCTGCCTGATTGAAATACCTTACACAAAAAGGCACACATGTGTGATATAGAGGTCACACACATAGCTTCCATTTAGTAATGAAGGGCTTAGCTATGGGAGCTGTTATACTTTGCCATTGTTCATTTGTCTTAAACAAGTTTTAATAAAATTTGAAAACATGAACCACTTAAAATTAGTCACTTAGGAAAACCATTAAGTGAGATTCCTACCTCAGAGAATCCTTGATCTGTACTCTAATCAGGGGTCATATAACTGAGGCCCTGGGAAGATAAGGGAGCTTGATGGGTATCTAGGGGAACAGTGTTCCAGGCAGTGGGAACAGCAAATGTGAAAGCCCAAACGATGGCATTGTCTAGAGTATAGTTGGCATAGTTCCTAAATGTGTTTTGTTTTGCAAATAACAAGATCATCATAAAAGAAATTAGAAAATACAGAAAGGGGATAGGAATTAAAGAGTGCACTTATGATAAAAAAATAAAACAATTAAAAAATACAGGAAAGGAGTTGGAATCACCCATATACTTGGAGATAACCACTGTCACTGTCGGTCTCTCACCCATTCAACAACTTTTTTTTTTTTAGATTTTATTTATTCATGAAAGACGGGGGGGGGGTGCGGGGGGAGAGACATAGGCAGAGGGAGAAGCAGGCTCCCTGCAAGGAGCCTGATGCGGGACTTGATCCCGGATCCCGGGATCATGCCCTGAGCAGAAGGCAGATGCTTAACCGCTGAGCCACCCAGGCATCCCCCCCATTCAACTTTCTTAAGCTTCTTGAAATATTACCTAGCATCTGTATTAGTTTTCTAGGTCTGATAAAACACCACCACACACTGAGTAGCTTATACAACAGGAATTTATTTGCTCATACCTCTGGAGGCTAAAAGTCCAAGATCAGGTTGTCAACAGGTTCATTTCTTCCTAGGCCTCTCCCCTAGGCTTGCCAAGGGCTGCCCTTCCTGTGTCTACACAGTCTTTCCTCCATTCACTTGTGCATCCCTATTTCTTTGTGTGTCTAAATTTCCTCCTCTTTTAAGGACACCAAATTGGATTAGGGCTCATCCTAATGGACTCATTTTATTTTTCATTTATGTGTGTTTGTGTTGTTGGTGTTTTGTTTTGTTTTTTGTTTTTAGAGAGTCTGTATGCTGGGTAGGGAGGAGGGGGAGAGAGAGAGAGAATTCTAATCAGGCTCCCTGCCCAGTGAGGAGCCCATCAGATGGAGATGGGGCTCCATCTGATGACTCTGAGATCATTACCCAAGCCAAAATCAAGAGTTGGATGCTCAGCCAACTGAGCCACCCAGGGGCCCCTTTTATTTATATTTTTTAAGAGACGTTATTTGTTTTTTAAGTAAATTCCATCTCCAACATGGGGCTTGAACTCAGAACCCCAAGATCAACAGTCACATGCTCTACCTTCTGAACCAGCTACATGCCCCAATGGACTCATTTTAACCTAATCACCTCTTCGAAGACTTTCATTTCCAAATATTGTCACATTCTGAGATTCTAGCAGTTAGGGCTTTAACTTGCAGGGACACAATTCAGCCTGTTACACCATTTGATATTTATCAGTCTTCCTATCTGTATGATTTTGTGTTCTTTTGGTATTCATTTTTGTGAGAATAGGCTTATACATTAAACAGTGGTAAAAGCAGTAGTTGAACATAGTGATCCCGCTCTACTGCCCAGGGAAATGAAGATTACTAAAGATTCAGATTTAACTCTCTAGACAAAAGGCATTGTATTGTTTGGCTTATAATGTCACAAACATCCTTTAGTTTTGTGTTTGCTAGAAAACACAATCCACTATAGTTGAATAATTCAGGTGACTATTTGGATTGAAAACACCTGGGTGGCTTAGCGGTTGAGCGTCTGCCTTCAACTCAGGGTGTGATCTTGGGATCCCAGGATCAAGTCCCACATCAGGCTCCCTGCATGGAGCCTGCTTGCTCCTCCCTCTGCCTATGTCTCTGCCTCTCTGTGTGTTTCTCATGAATAAATAATTTTTTTTAAATGCCAGTGTTTTCCAAACGAACCATTCAAGTATACATTCCAGTTTATTCTGTTTACTTTTAGGTACTGTGTCGTTTATTTATTTACTTTTTTATTTTATTTGTGTCATTTAAAACTACCTTCAATCAGCCAACTCTTTTGCTTACATTTATGCTAAGAATTTCTTTTTTTTTTTAATTTTTATTTATTTATGATAGAGAGAGAGAGAGGCAGAGACACAGGCAGAGGGAGAAGCAGGCTCCATGCACCGGGAGCCTGACGTGGGATTCGATCCCGGTCTCCAGGATCGCGCCCTGGGCCAAAGGCAGGTGCCAAACCACTGCGCCACCCAGGGATCCCTATGTTAAGAATTTCTTACCATCGTTGTAATGGGAAATTTGTACGTTACTTGCCTTAAATTATTCTTAAAAGTAAATACGTAACTGTAAAATGAGGTGTTCATTTATGTGCCACTAGCAACTCCACCCTTCCACTTGCTTGGACAAAAGCCTAGAAGCCATAGTTAACTACTCTTTTTTCCTACTTCTCAAGCAATCTGACAGCAAATCTTACCAGTTTATACATAACTCCCAAATACCTGGAATTGTGCTGTTTCTCACTACCTTTACTGGTCCAAGTCAGTATTTTCTTTTGCCAAGATTATTGCCGTAGGCCCTAGCTCCCTTCATTTTATTCTGCACACAGCAGTCAGAGGATCCTATTTAAAAAAGCAAGTTAGGGATCCCTGGGTGGCGCAGTGGTTTGGCGCCTGTCTTTGGCCCGGGGCGCGATCCTGGAGACCCGGGATTGAATCCCACGTCAGGCTCCCGGTGCATGGAGCCTGCTTCTCCCTCTGCCTGTGTCTCTGCCTCTCTCTCTCTCTCTCTCTGTGACTGTCATAAATAATTAAAAAAAAAAAAAAAAGCAAGTTAGATCCTGTCACTCCTCTGTTCAGAACTCCAGTGGCTTCTCAGGTCAGTAGTAGTTGGAGTCCTTAACCACCCACTGCTCTTCCATCTCACTGACTCAGTTTTAGGTGAATTAGGATCTTGCTGTTCTTTGACAATCCAGGCAAAGTCTTACCCAAGGGTCTTAGCTAGCACTTGCTGTTTCTTCACTGGAAGACTCCCCCTTGAGCTGTGCATAGATCATGCTCCTTCATGTGAGGTCTTAGTCATGACATCTGGTCTCAGTAAGGCTTTCTGTGATCACTCCATTTAATGTTGTAGCTCTTCCCCCATTACTCCCTGCTCCAGAACTCCCAACAGCTGTCCTCCTATATATATATATAGTTCGTATTTTTGTTTTGTCATTTTATGTTTCCCACTAGAAGGTAAGCTCCATGAGGACAGGCATTTTTGTTTTGTTCACTGCTTATTCCCCATTGCCTAGGAAAGTGCCTGACCTATAGTGGATTCTTGGGTATTTACTCCAGTTGAATGAATAGTAGCAGGAGTCCCACCTTAGGAAACACAAGGTATACTGGGAACACCTCCCAGTCTGGAGTCTCTCCAGTGGGTTTTCCTCCACAATTACGTGGTAAGTGCTGCTCGCCGCCTCATGGAGTTTGGCCAGTTGGGGGCTCAGCATTGAAGGCAAGAGAGAGCTTGTAACTTGTCTGAATCTGAGGGTTTTTTTTTCCCCCAGAGGTAATAGTTCAAATGCCAGGGAGGGAGGTGGGAGGAGGGGAGAGGCAGGCAGGATTGGTTGGGAGAGCATCCCTGGGAGAGTTACTTGGTGCCCAAGCACAGGAAGAAAATTGCTCTCCCTGCCCTCCCACAGCCTCGTCCCCTACCTGGCCCCAATGCCTCGGCTCTGTTCTGGAAAACACCCAGAAATGGCTCAAGCCTCAATCTGAACTCAGGTATAGTAGCTTGAACCTATGAGATGTGTTTGTGTGATTTCTTCCGTGAGCTACTTGCCAGGCTTTGGAATTTTCAGAAACAAGTAAATCAGGGAACCAGCCACCCTCCTTTGGCCTTTTCATAAGAGAGAAACTGTTTTGAATAGTTGAAAATTTTATCCTTGGTGCCTTCAGTCGACTCTTAGCTGATCAAAAGGACACCATTTTTATTTCATGCAGCCCTGGCGGCTGTTCCTCCTGAGGTAGTTTGAGTGTCATTCCAACAAATGCACACACACCCTTAACCTCAGAATGTGTAATAAGAATGAAACAAAAGCAGTAGCCTCTTCTCTCCTGAGGCACTTAATCCTCATGATACCGATATTGGTGGTTTTCGTCTGTTCTGGACCCAAATTGATCAACATTTTGACATGTAAACTCTTGAAATTTATCAAAGCTGTGGGGCCAGGGGGGGGGGGTGTCCTTCTAGGCTTGGTTCAGTGGTCACATCACCTGAAACAAAACCACGTGCCCCTTCCGTGTGGGTGTGCTGGTCGGTACTAGAAGCTCTGTAAGCAAGTTGGAGGGATGACAACTTTGAGCCATTTTTTGCATGTAAGCATCTTTATTTCCACGTAGTAATAATGAGCAGCTAGATCCAGGCTTACAGGTTCCCCTGGAGTTGCTAGTATCTTGAATTTCTTTCCATTTATTTTAGGAGTAAAAGTCCCTCGCAATTTTCGACTGTTGGAAGAACTGGAAGAAGGCCAGAAAGGAGTAGGAGATGGCACAGTTAGCTGGGGTCTAGAAGATGACGAAGACATGACACTTACAAGATGGACAGGGATGATAATTGGGCCTCCAAGAGTAAGCGTCGAGCTACGGCTATAAATGTCAATGTCTTAAATTCACTGTGCCTCCTTTTAAGAAATATTAGCCTTATCACGGAAAAAGCTCACCAATGGTATATTTTCTGAAATGTGGCTATTCTTTTTTGACCAGTTTCAGTTTATATATTTGAACCTCCTCTGATGCTGTTTAATCCCTCTCATGGTAAGCAAAAACCTGTTTAGACTCATAGTGTGAATTTACATAATATGTAGACAGGGAGGTGTGAGGTCATTACACCCTCACGGCTAGTTTAGAACAGACTCTTGGGCTTATCAAATAACAAGGCCCCAGATACAGTAGCCAGCGTTCTGAAGACAGCATACAAACAAACTTTGGAACGCCTTCATGGTTGTGGTTTTCATTTACAGTTTCCCAGGTCTGCCACACACTCATGTCCTAATTCATCAGGCCATTCAGCAAAGGCTTATTGCCTGCCTGGTTGGCTCTGGTCTCTTCCAGGCACTATGAGACCCAGAGGCCTTTGCAAAGAAGACAGAGACAACAGGGATGAGAATATTGACCTCTCTTTTAGAGCTTTGTGATTTGTGAGAGTTCCCAGGCTTTGTAGTACCAGCTAACTTTTTAATGTACATAGTAAAACCTCCAAGAAATGTCATTGAATTCTCACAAGAACCTGTTGTTAAGAGCTACTATTGTGTTGTCACATCCAGTTTTACAGGTGACAAAACAGAGAAGTAAAATTACTTGCCCAAAGTCACATAGCTGATAATTTCCAAAGGGGTTCTGACTCTAGACCCTGTACTCTTAACCCTATGCTCCATTATCTCCTCTCTGTTTAGATTTTGAGTTTTCATGTGTTCCCATTATAGAATTTTCCAGAGTGTTAAGTAGTAATATGAGGTAAGAGTGAAGAAATAGATTCTCATAATGTGACACTTGTTTCAGACCATGGGAGATTCCGTCTGAATGTAACAGGACCTTTCCTGTGTGTGCTCAAAGATGGTGGCAGCCAGTCATTCTTTTCACTGTGTGCACAGGCTCTGCACCAACTCTGTGGGAAGGAGAAAGATATAGGATGTGGCCCTGGCTGAAACAAGGAAGAGGGTCATGTTCATTAGGTGTTAGGATAATCTACTGTTCATCTTGGACTATCGTAAATACACACAGTGAATGACTGGCTTTGCTATTTAACGTTGCTTCTTGAGTCATCTTTGACCCTGTGGTTTTGTTTTTTGGGTTTAAAAATATATATATTCAATTTACTGTTTTTTACTCATTTCTTTATCTTTTTAAAAAATCTCTGAGAACTAGGATTTATAAATCTATTACATACTGAGGAAAACTTGATCTAGAAAGCTCGTTTCTTCATGGAGATCATTTCTTGCTGTTTCTAAAAGCCCACTGTATGGTGATGGCTTCCTTCACTGCATTTCTTCTTTTCCTAAGAATGGTTAGGTTTCTTGAAGGTGAAAACTATTCTTCCCTCCTCCTTGCTCTCCAGAGCACCTGGAAATGACTCGGAATGGGGCAGTTGTTCAATAGATTTGTTCATTAGCGGACTGATTTTCAGGTTCTAACAAATTAAGAATGGACCAGTGTACAACATTGTGAATACACTAAATACCACTGAATTATACACTTAAATGAGCCACCAAATTCCATTGAAAATATTCTGTTCTACCTACAACACCTTAGGTTACCCTGCGTTTCAGTTTAACTCTTTCCACAGGGGGCTTGCTTAGTGAGTGGCTACAGTAGGCAGGATGCTTTCCACACATTCTCTTCATATACACATGACAGTCTTATCAAGATGTAATTCACATATCATAGCATTTGCTTACTGTAGAATACACCTGGAAAGTATACTGCTCCATGATTTTTATTATATTCAGAATTCTGCAGCTGTCACTAATTTCAGAACGTTTTCATTACACCAGAGAAAGACCTCTTTCCCCGTTAGCAGTCGCTCCCAACCTGTTCCCCACCCCTCTCCCTTTCTAAGATAACCACTCATTTACTCTGCCCCTGTGGATTCGTCTCCTCTGTGCATTTCATATAAATGGAATCACACAACATGGGGTCTTTTGTGGTAGCTTTTACTAGCATGATGTTCTCAAGGTTCATACATGTTCTAGCACTTAACAGTAATTGAGTAGTTTATTCCTTTTGATAGCTGAATAATAGTCTCTTATGTGCATAGACCATATTTTCTTTATCCTTTAACTGTTTGATAGACATTTGGATTTTTTTCCTTTTTTTTTTTTTTTTTGCCTATTAGGAATAATGCTGCAGTGAATATCTGTGTGCAGGTTTTTGTGTGCACATATGTCTTCATTTTCTCTTAGGTGTATACCTAGGAGTGGAATCATTTGGATCATATGGTAACTTTATGTTTAACATTTTACATAACCACCAGACTGCTTTACAAAGTGGAAGCCGTTTTGCATTCCCACCAGCAGCTCCTGAGGGTTTCAGTTTCTCTTTACCCTCACCAATGTTGTCAGTGATTGTTTTTTTACCCCTATATTTATACTTGCCCAGACTCCCCAAGATTAAAAGCAGAGTTGTAAAAGGAACTGTCTGCCCTAGGTGCTTCCTGTGACCAGCCTACTAGCATACAAGGTATATGCTAGGCCTCTGGACTATCAACATAATTATTAAAGCATCCAAATAGAGCACTTGAGTAACTTATTTCCCTATTATATTTTTGTGATTATATAACTCAAAAGAAGATCCTCCATCAAAAGTGATCCAGCAATTCTAGGAATTTAGTTTTTTTTAATGTGTTGCCCAAAGGCCTATATATACAAAATTATGGAATGCAGCATTTTCAATTGTAGTGAAATATTGGAAGCCACCTCGGTGTCTTTCAGTAGACCATGTAGTATGTACTGTTTAGCTATTGAAAAGGACGAGGCAAGATTTTTGTGTGCTGAAATGGAATTATTTCCATGATATTTAAGTGAGAAAAGGTACAAAGCAGTATAGAATATGCTGCTACTGGAGTGGTGAGGTGGGGAAGAGGAAAAAGTCGTACATATACTTGTGCCTCTGTGTTTATAGTACTTTTGGGCTAACATGAAAGAAGTTGTTGACAGTGGTTGCCTTCTTCAAAAGGGATCTAGCTGGCTAGGATCAGGGTAGAAAGGAGACTTATTTTTTATCATAGACTTTTTTGTACTCTGAGATGCTTTAATTATGTGTGTTAGCTATTTGAATTTTTTATGTTTTTAAGAAAGCAACTTCTCCAAACCTGAAAGCAGAGTTTCTCATGCGATTGCCCTTTGCAGAATTCTGGCAAATGCCCAACTGTCCACAGCATTAGATGTGGATTATTTCACCTCTAACCACAGAGGCGCTAAGAATAGCTAGGTTACAGAGCAGTTTCTCAGCTTCAGTGCTATTGACATCTTGAGCTGGATCATTCTTTGTTGTGAGGCTGTCCTGTGCATTGTAGGATTAGCAGTACCCCGGGTCTCTGCTCACTAGATGCTAGTAGCACCTCCCTCCCCAAGTTGTGACAACCATTAAGGTCTCCAGATGTTGCCTAAATCCCACCCCTTCTGGGGGTGGGGGATGGGGGCGGGCAGACATTGCCTTGGTTGAGAAACACTGTTTATGTCTTGAGTTGTCCAAGATAATGTTTTTATGTGCGGGCTGGAGCCTGGGTGTGTGTTTATACACGTACTTATCTAAAAATACTGTGTGCGTGCTTGAGAACAAAACATAATTACAGGAATGTGTGAGGTAAAAGGAAAGTAATCCTTCCCCCTTTTCATCATGTTGCCCACAGAATGAGTGTTAATACTGGCTTTTGCTTTGGGTACACAAACATAAGTACATATCCTTTTTAATAAAAATGAGACCTTGCTATATATACACAATGGTTTGAAACTTCATTTTTTTTCACTTAACAGATGGTGGATGTCTTACCATATCGGTGCATATTGGTTTGTCTTTTTTTTAAAAAAGCTTTATGTAGCATGTGTGATCCATGATTATATCCTCCTAAACATTCTCAGACAATACAGAGTATGTCAAATAAGAAGTTCACTTTGTTCCGCTTAACTCTTTGAGTCAGTCAGGGAAAGAGAAACCATGCCAGGTATTTCAACAGAGAGAATTTAATACAAGGAGTTGATCAAATTAGTGTTGGACTGAAAAGGCAGAGAAGATACACTGTGGGGCTACAGAGATAACAGTGGAGCAAACAGTAACTCCACCCTGGGGCTTGGAGGACGTGGGAAGCAGAACTGAGCACCCAGAGGAGAGGTCCCAGGAGGCAGCAACAATATCGGGGACACTGAAAGACATTGGAAACTAGAGCAGCTCTCCCAGCCTGGATGGGGGACACATGTGGGCTGACACGACAGGAACAGAAGCCAAATGGAAAGGATAAGTACTTGCCTTCTCTTTTGTAATTTAGATTAGGATTGTGTGGTTAATTGGACAATTTAGTTTTTAGGTTCTAGAATTTTCTAAGTGGCACTAGCATTGACTTGGAGAAATGAATGGTTAATGTTGCCTGAAGATAGGTCCAGTAGCTCACTCAGCAGGATATTCTGACTTGTGGAAAGAGGTAGAGGCTCAGTACAGAGGAAAATTTTGTCTTGTCAGTGTCTGGAGGGATGTTGGCAGGTGCCAACTCAAGCTAGCCCATCTTTCTCAGCTCCACTTTTGGATACTGGGGCTGGGACTCTGCAGACTACATTTTTCCTTTGCCAGCTGGCACCCTATTAGCTTCCTCCAGTTGGGAACGCAGGACAGTGCCTGAAAGGCAAGGAGAAAGGACTTTTTCCTTGTTTGCTTGTTCTGTATGCACCACTCTGGTAATGGCCCTTCATCCCGGCACAAGCTATTGGGGCTCCTCCCAGAGCCGGCTGGCTGCACCTCCTCCTCAGAGGTTGAGTTCAGCTCTAGAGACCTCTGTCCCGGAGCCTCTAGGTCTGAAAAACCGCGGCTTATTCCCTTTGTTCTCCCAGCCTCAAGGGGTACCACCTGCTTTCTGCAGGTTACCTCTGATTAGCTCAGCTTCCCCTTTTATGTTTTCAGTCCAGTGACACCTGTTTAACCATTTCCCTGAGCTAAATTCTCTTAAAATGCTTAGTGCTGCATCTCATTTTCTGGCTTATCCTAACTGCCATATCCCCGCTCTCCAAATTCACTGTAAGCAGTGTTCAGTACATCTCCTTACACACCTCTTCCTATGTGGTTTCCTCCCTGTCCTCCTCCAGAGCCATTTAGACCTTTTCACTTTTTGAAGGGCCCACCCCTCATTCTCACACAGCACATTGCCCACATTGTATATCACATATAACTTGCAGGTGCCTGCGTAAGATTTCAGTTGAGTACCAGTCATCTGGCTTGACCTGATTGACCTTTTTATATATTGAGGTTTTGTGATTTGCTTGTTTTGCAACCAGTACCTTTTCCTTTTGTTCATATCTCCTGCATTTTCAAGATAAACTTATTTCACAATACTTTTAGACTTACAGAAAAGGTGTGAAGATAGTATGGAAAGTTCCAGGTGTACCTGGAAGCAGGGGGAACCCTGCTTCCCATGTCATTAGCATCTAATATTGGAATAGTACATTTGTCACCACCCGTGGCCCCATATTGATGCATTGCTATTAATTAAAGTCCATGTCTTATTCAGATGTTCTTAGTTTTTACCTTGTGTCTATTTTCTGTTCCAGAATCCTATCCAAGATACTACATTATGTTTTGTTGGCCCTTGACAGTTTTGAGGTGTACTGGTCAGGTCTTATGTAGAATGTCCATGTTGGAATTTATCTGCTGTTTTTCATCATGATTAGGCTGGGATTCTCTCATATATGTATTTTAGGCCCAGGGCCTGTAGTATCTAGTGGATGAAACAACCCATGTGTACATTAGTGTAGTCTCAGCTAGAGGGAGGTGTTTGTCTGCTTTTACAGGCTGTACATATTCAGCAACTGGGCTGTATGGAAACCTACCTCTTAGCAGTCTTTCCATGTGGTCTTTCCATGTGCTTGTCTGGGCCTCAGCCTTTGAAAAGGCTACAAAGTATCTGATTTTTGGAATATGCCCTATTTGTTCAATCATTCCCTTGCAGGTGGACATTTAGATTGTTTGTAGTTATTTTTGCTATTGCAGACAGTGCTTCACTTTTTTTTTTTTTAATGCTTCACATTTTTGTGCACAAATACAAGTCTGCCTGTAGGAAATTCCTAAAAATAGTCTTGCTGGTTTGAGCATGCCTGTTTCACATTTTGATAGGCACTACCATATTACCCCATGAAGCTCAGGTCACATCCACAAAGTGGAAAGTGTTTCATGATCAAATAATGAATCTTGACCAGTGTTTCCTCATAGAATGTTCTAGCAGTTCTCCTTCAGGCATAATTCCTTTCATCAATGGAACCTTTTCAGCAGGTCTCTGGAGCACTAGTAAACAAAACAGAAAAAAACCATAACCCTGTTTTCTACAAAAGTCTTGCTTTGTACTTTTTAATGATCCTTCAGGTGTCTCGATGTTCACTTGACTTGCATTTATTAGTGTGTTCTAGGAAAGTTGCAAGTTGAACATCTATGGTCAGAAATTTAGTATTTCTTTTTGCTTTCTAAGAAAGTAATCATAGAATGCACATTTTTAGATTAGACTTCATAGTGTCAAGAGTAGTAAGATTTAACACATGGAATAAACAGAATCCTGTTACCAGGCTGCTCACCTTCTTAACCATTTGATGCTGTTGTTAATAGGTAGAACAATTAGTGAAATCTTGTCAAGACTGTTAAGCCACAAAACATACTAGCAGGTGAATAAATTGGTGCCTCAGAACCTCCAAAATATATCAAATATTTTTTTAACTTATTTCGATATTTACCACAAGCCCATGCCTCCAGGGACTACTTTATGTAAGGAATTCTGTCTGAATTGTGTGACAAAACCATTGAGGATGAGCAGGCCAGACGTCCAGAGATGAACTTGGGATCCATGCAGTCAGCAGGTACTGTTCAGTGCATAGTTGCCAATGGAGATGGTGCTAGCCCCTGAAGATAGACCTTTTATCATATTTTCCACAAACCTCTGTTTGCTTCCCTTTTGTTGTGTTGACTGAGTTAATTTTTGTCTTCCAAGGGAGCATCTTAGTTGCAACAAGCTCTTCATTTTTTATAAACTTGTAAAGAGCAATATTCAAGTCAAGAAACACTTGAGTACCAGTTCTGTGGAGGCCCCTGCCCTCCTTCGTAGTTTATCCAGTCTGGCATGAGATGGGGAGTCAGGAGGACTTCTGTGAGGATGGTACCCTTGAGCCAAAGAGCTGCAGGATGGACACAGAACAGCAAGTGGTGCCAGGACCCCAAGGGAGAGATAGTCTGGGGCTAGATGGAGAGGAAGAAGAATAAAAAGAGAGGAGGGCAGGGGTACACAGGGTCCCATCTGGGAATGTGGTCTTCCTTTTTGGGTCACTCATAGCCATTAGAGGGTCAGGGCTGGTTCTTGATTTTGAAAGATCAGTCAGGCTGCTGTGTGGAGAACAGATTGTAGGAGGAGCAAGAGAAAACAGAGGCCTGGGGTGATTGAGACGAGGGGCGTGGTAAAGGGAAGTGGGTGGGTGTGGGATTACTCTTGGAGATGGAAGCTGAGATCTCCTTTTGATTGGAAGGTAGTGGGTAAGAGAAAAGGGAATTGTGGCTGGCTGCCAGGTTTTGTTTTAACCAATTGCTAGATGGTGGTGCCATTTATAAGGGAAGAAGAGAGGAAGAGCAGGTTGAGGGTGGGTGGAAATCCAGAATTGAGTTTAAGTTTGTCACAGTTTGGAGTCCCTGTTAAGTAGATGTGAAAGGTCTTTATGGGTACATTATGAATGTCTTCTGAATCTTAAAATATGTTCCAGTTTTTTTCCTTAGGGACAGACCATTTTTTAGACATAATCTTTTCAAGGATCTTCTGGAATTTAGTCTCCCCCCAAGACAGCTAGATGTCGCTGTTTACACAGGAGTCATTATTTGGGCAAGAGTTCCTGAGGAAGGCAGGAGCACTGGTGCCTGAGAAGGGGTCCCATTGGAGGGTGGGTGGCCTCTGCCTTCAAGGGAACCAGTCTAATGAGGAGATGTCCCCCTTCAGGGTGGCCTTTAGATGTTTAAATGAGGACATCACCACTTCATATAAGACAGAAAGCTGTGGACTAACTTACCCCGTATGATGACTGAGCCAGGTGACATTTGAGCAGATGATGTTTGAACTGGGTCTTAATGGGTGTATGGTAGATAGTTCAGGTTGGGGCAGGGCCCTCTAGGCAGATGGAAGCTAAGACAGCACATTTTGCTGCTCGTCAAGTGGAAGTTACAGTGAAAAGTTCATTGCCATGGGCGACTGGCATGACAGTGTTTTTCTACAGAGCCACAGTTGGTGTTTGAAGGACAGTCTTTTCCCCCTGTAGGCCTGGCATCCTCGGTTCCCCACCTCACCCACTAAATACCTGTAGTCTCTCAGATTGATGAAAAGTTTGCAGGGAGAGATGATGTTGCCCACCACCCCAAAGTGATGAGGAAATGGGAAAACAGTTCTTGTATCCGCACCCACACCCACTAACTTTTGTTTAATTTTGAAGTTCTCAAAATTTCAGCACTTTTCAGTGCTTTGCACATGGTGGTATTTACTGCATTGGCTGATGACTCTGCTGTGAGTAGACCTTTAATGTGGCTTTCCAGAGTAAAGAATGCCTATTACACACCATTGCCCAGAGCACAGGACAGGTCTGCAAAGTAGAGAAATTAATATAAAAACAAGTCCATCTGATTGGATTTAAATAACACTAACTTGAAACTTCAGTGATACTATTTTAAATTTTCTGCCTTTTTATTCCCCCAAGACCAGAATTGATATACACTAGTGTGGGGACAAGTTACTACTAATCTAACAAATAACAAGTAGACTATGTATAAACATAGGAAGCAGATGCACCAGTTCTGCAGGCAGGAATAAATGGGGTTTCAAAAGATCTGCCTTTTTTAGTTCATGGTGTGTAATTGCCTGACATCTCTGTACCTTTTTTTTCCAGACAATTTATGAAAACCGAATATACAGCCTTAAAATAGAATGTGGACCTAAATACCCAGAAGCACCCCCCTTTGTAAGATTTGTAACAAAAATTAATATGAATGGAGTTAATAGTTCTAATGGAGTGGTAAGTTGTTTTTCCTGCCCATACTTGTTCCTTTGGGTTGAGAGATGCTTTGTACTCAAACACCAGGAGCACTGTGGCCCTAATTCTATATATTCCTTGGTGATTTGATGATGAAATATATTGCAGTATGAACATATGCAGACTTGGTGTAAGGGCCTATTCCTCACCTGTGTTTCAATCATCATTCGTGTGACACTTACTCTGGGCCAACACTGTGCTGCTTGCTTTGAGATAGGAGCTCATGCTGTCTTCATGATACATCCTCATGAGGTAGAGATGAGGAGCCTGAGGCTTGTCATAGAAGGCAGTAATGGCAACAGTAAATACTACAGAATCAAAGTGACATTAATAAATGCCCCATGTTTCTTGCCAAAGGCTTTGAGCCTTTGAGACCTGCTCAAAGGGGAGATCAGCAAGTGTTGAAGGGTTTTACGTGTTAGCATTATGTGAGTTAAGCCTTTGATTTGAGACACTCAGAAGACTTGAAAGAAAAGCGAAAAGAGATGGGCTTGTTGCGGTGTGTTCAGTGTTTAATGTTGTATCTGAGCTCCACCAAAGTCCTGAACCCAAAACTCAACTCACACTTTGGGAAATTTCTTTTGGGAATTGCTGTACTAACATGAGAGAATGTGACTCAGAGGCAGGGCCTTGTCACCAGAGTGTGGATTTGGGCCACCACTTGCCTTTGCTCCTTACTGCACTGAACATTGTTATCATATACCACCTGGGTGTAGAGCCAAGAAAGGACAGACTTGAGCAGAGGCAGCAGCCAGTCCAGGAGAGCAGGTCACTGTTCTAGAGCCAGCTGGGCGGAGTCTTGCTAAGTGTCAGGGCCATTTCTCTGAAGGTAGCTTTGCATATCCATAGTTTCCTTCTCCTAAACAGTGAGGGTTCAGACACAAACAGGAAAAAACAGACTGCCCAGAGGGAGGGAGTCATGCAGGTAATTCTACATGTCAGATATGGTGGTGTGATGGGCATGTTCCACTTGAGAAATGTAGTTTACTCCTATCTGCAGTTTTACTCCAGCATATAGTGATTCATTTGTTGGAGAGCCTGACAGTTTTTTGTTTGCCTTTCTGTAGGTGGACCCAAGAGCCATATCCGTGCTAGCAAAATGGCAGAATTCATATAGCATCAAAGTTGTCCTGCAAGAGCTCCGGCGCCTAATGATGTCTAAAGAAAACATGAAACTCCCTCAGCCACCCGAAGGACAGTGTTACAGCAATTAATCAAAAAGAGAAACCACAGGCCCCCCTCCCCCCCATTCGATTTAAGCAGTCATTTTCCACAGTAGTACATTTTCTAGATACGTCTTGTAGACCTCAAAAGTACTGGAAAGGAAGCTCCCATTCAAAGGCAATTTATCTTGAGATACTGTAAACGATACTAATTTTTTGTCCATTTGAAATATATAAGTTGTGCTATAACAAATCATCCTGTCAAGTGTAACCACTGTCCACATAGTTGAACTTCTGGGATCAAGAAAGTATATTTAAATTGATTCCCATCATAACCGGTGGGGCACATCTAACTCAACTGTGAAAAGACACATCACACAATCACCTTGCTGCTGATTACATGGCCTGGGGTCTCTGCCTTCTCCCCTTCTCCTCCCGCTGGTCTCCTTCTGCTGGCTCCCTCCCTCCCTCCCTCCCTCCCCCCACCCCTCTGTCCCTGCAACAGCCCTCCAGCTTGGGGTGGCTTGCTAGAATAGGCGTGAAGGTTTCAGGTCACAGCCTGTGGGACTACTGCTGGGTGTGCAGGGGTGCTCCAGCTGCACCCCTGGTTTCTTTTTAAGTCTTAAATGATGCCCTCCCCCCTCCAAGCCATCATCCTTTCTCCACTTCCCATGACCACCCTCGGCCGAAGCATAGATTGTAACCCCCTCTGCTCCCCTCTGAAATTGGCCTTTGGTGAGGAATTCAGGGCTTTCCCCATATCTTCTCCCCCACCTTAATCGAGGGGTGCTGCTTTTTCCTTCCTCCTCAAGTCCTTTTTTGCACCATCACAACCCAATACTTCCTTGCTTTGGCCAGAAGCCATCAGGTAAGGTTGGAAAGAGTCTCTGACTTCCCTCATTTAGTTTGGAACCACATTTACTCACTCTCCACCAGCCTGGGAATGAATATTGGGTCCTCAGCCCTGCCACCCTCTGCTGTCATCATCAGCTGATGCCGTTTTTTAGCTCAGGTTTTGATAAAGTGAAAAGAACAGTCACCAGGGGTATTCAGACCTGCCAGCTCTCAAAGTGCTTGGTGGTAAAACTTGGAGAAAGGCCACAGAAGACACTTGTAAGCACACACGATCCCTCTGAATGAATTGTTTTCTTTTCCTGTAATTGCTTTTGCTTTTAACAATTGAAGAAGTTTTAAACAGGGTTCTCATGTGGTCATCTTACAATCCATTTGGGTCTAGTTTGGAATCTGACAACTGGAACGAAAAGAACCTTGGATTCGGTGCATACTTTGGTTTTGGTGCTGCTGCGTCTCATGGTCCTCAGCAGGGATCAAGAAAGAACTCAGTGTGCACAGCAGATCCCCGAAATTGGCGGGCTTGACTTCCTGGCAAATTGCTGCGTTTTTCCACTTTTCTGTTCAGGACCACTAAATGCTGAGATGTGGATGCATACCGAAATAAAAGCGATTCATTGTGTTCTAAAGATTTTTTTTTTTAATTTAGTGTTTGTATAAAACCACCTTTTGAAGCAGCAACTATCAAGTCTGAAAAGCAATCGATGTTTCCATTAATCTTTTTCTGGGGGATACCTTAGTTCTAAGGATTTAACATCCTGTAAGTAAAGTTGAACATAACAGTATTCCATAAGCAGCCTTTTTATTGTCAGACCATTGCCTGATTTTAATATAATAAAAAAGAAAGTGTGCGTTAATATTTAAGAAGCTGTGCCCTTCTTCCTCTTGGCATATAATTTAGGAATGGAATTTGACATCTTAAAATGCTTTGGGATTCAAATTGATGTCCTTATATCAGGGGTCGGCAAACCTTCTGCCAAGGGCCTACGTCAGTAAATACTTAAGCTTTGTGGGCCAAGAGACAAAATTGAAGGTACTGTGTAAATATTTATATAGTGAGAGAAAATGGATTTCCACAAAATTGGTTATTGATGAAATTCAAAATCTAGCAACTGAGTGCAGTTCTTTTCTAATGTTATAGGCCTAATGAGAAGAATTCTTTTTTTGGAGAGTAACATTTTGCTTACTGGAATTTAAAGCTAGTATTCCTGATTTATCAAGTCTGTTGTAAATGTTCATCTGCAAAAATAGTTCATCAAGGGACTGTACAGAAAGGCAATGGGCCAGATTTAGCCCATGGGCCACAGTTTGCCAACCCCTGTCTTACAAGATTATAGTGAGAAGGTGGGGGGGGGGGTGGCGGGTGATCTTTCCTTTAAGTAGCTTTGTGGGACTCTAGCTATTAAGTCCCCTCTAGCACCTACTTACCAGCTGGATTTAGTAGTCTGTTGGGAAGGGAAAAATAGGGCTTTCACATGAATTTCTGGCATTTGAGACCAGAGTTTTGCCTGACAGTTGACAGTTTGTCTACTCCCTACACTGTAGGGAGTAGAAACGTGTCTGTGGCTGTTTTTATCCAGGATTTGAACTTCCTGCTGTGGTCCCAGCCACCAGCAGGCGTGACCTTGGTGTCCTGTGGCAGGAGCCAGGCCATTCTGTGGCTGTTGGGGGCCAGGTCAGATGTCAGAACCTGGTGCCTGGGTAGCGCCAAATTGTTCTTACTGGGTCACCCTTCAGAAAGCACTGCCAGATGGTCCCTAGGAGTCCTCCAGAGTGAATTACTGCCTTTCAGCTGTGGGTTCTTCACCCATAGTACTTAGCTTCACCAAGGGAGGACAAGGACAGGAGATTTTTTTTGGGGGGGGAGGGGAGATTCTAAAATTATTTCAAAATGCTGCTGGAAAACTCCAAGGCAAATGCAGAGCTAACTCTAAAGGTAGCAGCTCTCACATGCTTTGTGACCTCCAGAGAGAAGAGCCATCTGGAATCCTAGAGTGGGCACCTTTTCCTTCTTCATGTATGACAGAACTGACCTCAGAGTTGGGGGAAATTGAGCTGGAACTTTCTGTGATAGCTGAGCCTCATCTGTGGTTATGTCCCACAGTCATGTGATTTGCTTCTCATTGTTGCTGATGTGTTTACAGGTGGTCTGCAGTTTGGGCCTAAATTTAGGGCAGAGAAGAAACGCTTGTGTAGGGGGGCTGAGTGCGCTGCTTCACCAGGTGCCTCTGCTCACACCTCCACATCCGCAGCTCCAGTCAGGTCTTTGCTCTTGAGAGAAGACACTCCTGTTACTTTTCACTGTGTAGCACTGCAGGGTGTGGGGGTGCACGGAGGTCTCCAATGATCTGACCAGGTGGAAGAGGACATGCACCCTCAGATACTTACCAACAGCAAACCAGTGGTGGGTCTCCACTACCCCATGACTTTTGACCATAATCTTGGGACGAGAGCAGGGTCTTGAGCTGTGTCTCAGCCCTGCCGAGACAGTTCCTGGAGCCCTTGGGTGGGGTCACCCTGCGGTACTAGTGCCTTTAGTTGTGATAGGGCAGCGTGGATGGTGTCCAATAAATGGCACAGACTCCGCAGGTCCCTCCCCTGTCCACCCTGGCCATCAGGGTCCCCTGCTCAGCCTCTTGCCCTTTGAATTCCCTCCCTGCCTCCAGGGAGCTAGTGGATACTCAGCCACATTCCCCTTCCTTACTTACTCGTGCCAGCTTCATATTACTCCATCGTCAACCCCATAAAAGACTGGGGCCTAGCGTTAGGGATTTCCCCTTCCTTACTCAACAGAGGAGGAAATTCTAAGGAAGGGCAGCTTGTGAAAGCAGGTCATCTTTTCCAGCTTGTGAGTCATCATCTGGGCTGGGGGCTGTACAGATAGTTCTGAGCTGTGTGCACAATAACTGGACTCACCTTGAAGGCATTCTTGGGATGACATGAGGTTACCTGCTTTTGCTTTTAGTCCAGGCTGCCTCACATTGCCTAGAGGTGACCTTGGAAGAGGTCTTAGTGCTAGAGCCAACCTCATTGCTGCTGCCAGACGACTTCTTACCATGAACAAGACGGCACAGGCTGCGCATTGGAGTTCAGGTGTGAGCCTGATGCGGTGCAGGTGAGTGGGGACAGGGGCATGGAGGTGCTACTCAGTGTTGGGGATGTGAGTTCAATGAATGCCACATCTTTGGTTCACAGGAGAAACTGAATGCAGATATGTAATGTGAAATCTCCTAACACTAGTGTCGACAGACCAGCTTCTCATTCTACGTATAAACAAAGTCCAAGTACCCCTACGACTTGCAGGCCATGGGAGAGTTCCGTGTGCATAAGGCTGTGTCACCGGTGGCACCTTGGCCCTCAGGATCATTACCATGGTGGCCTTTGACCCTGAGAGCTCTGCCCAAGGACATGTGGTGGGTCCTCCGAGCAGGGGCACAGGTAGAAGGTTCTAAGAAACCAGAATTGCTGCAGGATCCACAGGAGACAGACCCATGTTTCACTGAGCAGATGCAGTCCACTGACATGCCCCATTATTTTAGTGCCACCAAGAAAACGCTGTCAGCTACAAGTGCAAGACACTACTGACTATAAGGAACCCCCCCAATCCAGAAATGTTAAGATGTCGAAATGTCCAGTTGGTGAGAAGCAGGGTGTACTGTCATGATAAGGACAGAGGAGGTGGCCACACTTGTGACAAAGGACGGACACAGCCTCACATCCCCTGCTAAAAACCCTAGTCTGCAAACCTGTGATGGGCAAACCTGACTCCCATTTCTAAATTTACTAAAGAGAGAATACGTGGGCTTAGAAAGGACTTCAAACAGTAGAAAGGGAAGGGATGGAAGGTGCAGTCCTCTCCGGCTTCTCACCCCATCCTGTCCAGACAAGCACCCGTGCAGTGGGCCCCTGTGAGGTCCCGTGCGTACGTGCAAACCAGTGCTGGCCCCCTCCCCGCCTCTCCTTCCCACTGGGAATGTGGCCTCCACTTTGCTCTCCCCCTGGGTGCTTTCTCCCCAACAGGACCTGTCAGGGTCCCTGGGGAGCAGCATGGAGGGAACAGGCACGTAGTTCTGAACAGCTGCTGGGCACCCAGGACACAGTGCACCCCCACCCGGTGACCCGGCCCTGACGGGATGCTGAGGTGGTCTCTGACGGTTGGCAGCACTCACCAGCCTCAAGGCACGTTTGTGTGTGCGCGCTCGTACGCATGTGCAGGCGCACATCTGTGGCGTCAAGTCCTGGGAGCGGGCTCCTCCATCCAAGGTCATGGGCACTTTATGTCATTTTCAAGCTGCCTACCAAAGAAGTACCAACTCTCCCCCACCTTTATTTTAAGATAGTTATTTATCTAACAGTTTATGTATTTATTTGAACACAAGCTGTGGGGAGGGGCAGGCTCCCCACTGAGCAGGGAGCCAGATGTGGGGCCCGATCCCAGGACCCTGGGATCATGACGGGAGCTGAAGGCAGACGATCAGCCCCCGAGCCACCCAGGCGCCCCCGCCTCCCCTTCCGTCGACAGTAGGGCAGGTCCCCCCGCCGGTCTCTGATGGGACTTCCTTGCCTGCCCACCTTTGAGCTGAACCCGTGCCTGTTCTTATGTGTGAAGCTGCGTCTCCTCAAGCTGAGAAGTCCTGGTTTTCCCTCTCGACCACGGCATGTTTGTTACCTTGTCCTGCTGATCTGTAAGCGTGCCGCAAGAAGGAGTTCTCACCGCCTGGGACGGTCATCCGAAGCATACACGAATGGGTCTGGTATACTCGGCTGGGTCGGCTGATGGGTGGCCACCTTCACCAGCCATCAGGGGCCCTTCCCTCGTGGTCAGCTGGGGACACTTTCAGTCCCTTCCCCGTCCACCTCCTGGGCCTGTCAACGTACTGGGATGAAGACAGGCACGTGGCCAGCAGAGTGGCTTCCTGACACCACCCACAGCTTGCTGCCTGGCGTGGGTGTGTGTTCTAACGTGTCCTGCCCCCTGGCAGTGCTTGGGAAAGCACAGATCTCATGCCAATGAGTGGGTGCTAGGAAACTTCGTGCTTCCAGAAGCCAGTTCTCAATCCACCACTACCTCCGCCGGCTCCCTGGGCTCTCGGCCTTGTCCCCATCTCCACACAGACACAGCCAAGAGTGCGCTTCACTCCCTTCTCTGTGTGGCTGGCTCCCCGGCACCAGGACAGCCGCTCTTGTGTGTCCTCTTGAGAGAGACCTTCCCAGTCCCCGGGCCTTCTCTGTCCCTGTCACCTGTGTTTTGTACTAATACCTAACAATTGGATTTATTAGTTTAGTTATTCCCCTTTCTCTCACTAGAGTGGACTTCATGCAGGTGAGCGCCTCATCTGATTTATTCCTGGGCCTTCCCCTCCCGGCCATGGACATTGATGGGCCCGGGGGGTGGGGGGTTCTTGATGGCCTGTGAGGCCTCCGTCTGCCTCTGCCATGAACACTAAGTGACATTTGGGCAGCAGCGTGGGTGCGTGAGTGGGCCAAGGGATCCACTAACTTTGGCAGTTACAGGTGAAGCTTGTAAATGGTGAGTAGATGGAAGGACGCGCACACAAGTGCGTGAGTGGAGGGGAGATCTCCACGTCCTCTACCTGGCTCAGGTGGGCCGACCCTCACCCACCCCCCA